ACATCAATAATTTTTCTTTCATTTTTAATTACACATTCTCCATCAATTTACTATTCAATAATACATACATTCATTCAAAAGAATGTGTCCCAAACACACTTTAAATACCAATTCTTCCAGCTTTTTGCAAGAAATCCCTGTCCTCTTTCTTTATATCTTTTTTGCAAATAATGAAAAAATCGCTTGATTTCTTGAAGCAATCCAACCACATTGAATCGATGATCTCAAGCGCCTTGCAAGCTACAAAAGTACTCTATCTTGTTAGAATCTCAATTCTAATCCTCAACTCGACCTATAATTTATTTAAAAGGTCTTCCCATTATATGGATTGTAAATTGGGAAAAATTTAATTAATAAGGTGTATACTTTACACCAATTCAAAAATCAGTTTTATAGTTTGAAAATTCAAAAATCAAGTTTTTTTTTTTTTATTTATGGAATAATAAATTATTAAATCAATTTATTATTAAATATTTAATTCTAATATAATATAATTAGCTCGTCCTACATGCACCACCCATACCGCTTAGTGGACTATTCCGGCGACCGTTCCGACGACTGCTCTAATTCCGGCAATTATTCCGACCACTATTCCGGTGTCCATTCTGGTCACATATGTACAATTTAAGGTCACAGTTCAAAAATTTTATAGATCATGATTACATCGTTGGTCACAGATTTCGAAATTAGTGGTCACATATCAAAATTTATAGGTCACACAGTGACAGATTTCCAAATTTATTGGTCACAAATTTTTTTACAGTCACAGATTATATAATTTTTAGGTCACAGATAAAAAAATGGTTAATTTCANAATTATCGAGGTGTCAAAAAGGCATCGGGATGATAGAAAGTTCAGAACGGTAAATCTCAACTGAATTTAGAACAATCACATTTATTTTTGACCGTTTTGGCTAAACTTAAAAAAAAAAAAAAAAGACTAACAACACAAAAACACTACCACAATAACACCACCAACACCACAACCGCACCCAACCACCACAACACCATCACCAACACTGCACACAACACCACGCCCAACCAAATTTTAAAAAAAAAGACGAAAAAGAACAGCAGCAGCGTCACCCAACACCCACAGCGTCGCCCAAACACCTACATCAGCGTCGAGGCGTTGCTGCGATTCACAGTAGCGCCTCGACGCTGAGAACGACAGTGTCGCGACGCTGTTGCCGTTCACAGCAGCGTCGCGACGCCGGCAGAGAAGAGAAGGGAGGGAGGCGATGAATGGTGGTGCAGGTGAGAGAGGTGAGAGAGTGGAGAGAAGTGAATTATTTAGAGGTGGATATATAATATATAATATTTGATTTAATTATTAATTCAATACCTGATTTTTTATTAAGCCCCTGTTTGAGCCACATTATTTTTTTCATTTTCATTCTTCTACCCATTTTCAACCACACATTCTTCAATAAGATAATATTTTCCATCATATCAATAAATTTTCCTTTTTTTTCAACCTCATATTTTCCATCACATCACATCACTTCAAAAAAATGCATTCTCTCATTTTAATGTGCACCCAAAGGGCTCTAAATAAAATTCACACCTGAATTTTGAATTTGAAAAATTAAATACTTGATTTTTTGTANAAACATATTAAAAATTTGATTTTAATTCCTATGAGGGGGCTTAATAAAATACTATTATTCAAAGCAATTTTTTAAAATTTTAAGGATGTCGTAAAGGGGTTAAATCACACGAGTTCCAATCGATATTCAAGGCTTGGAAAAAGAGTTTGGAGCTTTTTGTAACAGAACCGAAGAGATGACTTCATCAACAAACTGTTTTCTTTCTTTCTTTTGGGAAAAGATTTCACATAAATTTGAGGCTGAGTTCCAAATTATCAGTTTACATGACTACTTCTTGTGTCATGCGATCGAATGTAATTGATCGAGAATTTCGTTATAAAGTTTTACATGAATTAGGGTCTAAAGTAATTTTAAGTTTCTGTTTGGTCTTCATTATTTGAAATTTTAGTGATTAGAGTAGTATATTTTTTTAATGTATGTTTAAAAAGAAGAAAAAGTTTTAGGATTATGTGTAATATTATTTTATTAGATAATGTGTGGTTGATGAGGGAGAAAAATGAAATATAAATTGAATGAAGGTCAAACATATGCTAAGGCCCTGTTTGGGAGAGATTTAGATTTTTCTACAGTAAATCAATTCTCATTTTCAACCACACATTCTTCAATAAGATAATATTTTCCATCATATCAATAAATTTTCCTTTTTTTTCAACCTCATATTTTCCATCACATCACATCACTTCAAAAAAATGCATTCTCTCATTTTAATGTGCACCCAAAGGGCTCTAAATAAAATTCACACCTGAATTTTGAATTTGAAAAATTAAATACTTGATTTTTTGTAATTTCCCTTGTAAATTTGTTACCGAATTGTTAGGTTCGAGCTTAAAAAAAATAAAATAAAATATGGGCCTTGGTTATCAGAGGCACAATAGTCAACCTAAAAAATAAGGCTTATAATCCAGGTGCCAGTAATTTTTATTATTTTTTCATTACGCAGTAAAAATCAGTTTTTTGATATGAAAAGTAAGTATTCAGTGCAATTGTGATTAATCCAAACCAAAAAGAGCTTGCACCTTGCAATTTGCATGGACCGAGTTGAGAAAACTACGGTTCGTGGGCCGCAGAAAAATTCCGAACCGGCCAACCATAGCATGTAGTCTGGGCTTTCACGGGTAAAGGCCTCTTTTGAAATTTTTTTTGACCCGTTCTCATATTTCTTCTATTACTTCTGTCGATAATAACCCCTCACCATTTGAGTAACAACTCGAGCCATTTAAGATTTAAAATATGAAAAATATACAGTAAATTTAACAACTTTGAGAAAGCATAGTGGTAAAACTCAATTATTTTGTAGTTTTGCGTACGTAGGATACATTATTTATTTTTATTATTTTCAAATTTCGGACATAATAATGGTTCGAGCATTTTGCTCGTGTAGAACAAATATCATCTCATCGACACCCTTAAATTACTACAAGAAATAGTAATGGGTTCCAAGAAATACGTAGTTAATGACATTATTTCGACAGTATCATTGTCATAACTATATATTAAGAGCTTGTTTGGGAGATATTTTAATCCAATTAAAATTGAAAATATAGACGTTATTGGGTTCCACTCGTCTAATAAAAGTCAACAATAACGACTAATTTTTCAATTTTAATCCGATTTTAATCTCTACCAAACAAACTCTAATTGAGCAGTAGCCATTAATTACAAACATAAGCAGCTAATAATCAACTTTTCCATAAATATTATAGAACCAATAATGTGATGGATTATGAGTGTAAAACTGCCTCATTATTATTATTATTATTATTATTATTAAACTGGACCACATTTTTTTTTATGTTTTTGTACTCTCATAATTGTCTTGTTCAATTTATCAATTATGCACTCATTTGGGTTCCTCTAATCTCTCTCTTTCATCCTCGTATGTTATAGGCCAAATTATTCACAGGCACTTACACAAAAATGGTCTCTCAAGTACTTGCATACCTAAAGGAATAAAGTTAACATACATATATGTGCATATTTGCACGAGCGCACATGTATATAGCAACAGAAAATTATTTGGAGTCGATCTTCAAAGATACTCGAATCCAGATCAAGAACCCAGTACTGCGACCCTTTTTTCCTTTGTACCCGTCGAGAACCCTCAAATAGCTCGTGGTGTCGAGTTGCTACTCAAGACCTCTCGAAACTCTCTCGAATTCCGAATACAATTGCGAAAGGACGGTTAATGATCTTGTTACATGTACATCAAGATTTATATAAGTGATAACATTATTGACATTAAAGAGAAACTCAAAATTCTATTGATAATCACTTCTAAATTACAAATGTTTCATCAAATGAGATATTTTAAAGATCCAAGTGTTTTTTTTTTATTATATCCAAAGATAGCTCACCATTTTATAGGTAAAAAAAATGGATTATGCTAAATGTACATAATCCTTTACACCTCTCTCACATAGAGGGGGGCCCACACACAATAAAATATTCGTGGGTCCCCCTCCATGTGAGAGTGGTGTAAAGGATTGTGTAAACCATGGAGTGTACATGTAGCACAATCCAAAAAAAATCTAGTATCACCCATTTTCCTGTCTTGTCAATCAATAGTACCGAACTAAAAAAGTACGTTATTGACATATCTCTATTGGTGAGGTTGATTTGACAGGTTATCATGAAATCGTCCTTTAAGTGGGTCCCCAACAATTAATGAGCTAGTGAGTAAGCGAAGAAACATCATATGATTGGCGAAATAAGTTGGCACTGACGTAAGCACTGACGTAAGTTTTGGATGCAATAATTAATTTGATTGGATGTTTTATCAGTATGTAAAGAATCTATAATCATTATCTTCCCTCGAACCTCGGCAATACGACCTGACCTTATGAAGCCGATCTCAGATTGAGATATACTATGCGTATGTAACAATCGGTCTTAATTATGTTGCAGGTCAAATGTTAACAAACATAATTCCTATGATGCTTTATTAATTGCCAGTTCAAAATACAATCACCTTTTTTATTCAATATTTTTCTTCCACATCATTTTAGGTAACCGTTTAGATACAATTTTGATGTACAAGTAGCAAAATCCGGACGGTAAAATCCTTCTGTAAGGTGTATATATATGGACCTTAATCTTTAAAGCAAGGAGCCATATGATAACATTCGTAGTACGATAATGGAAATGTGGGGATAGGCTTTATACTTTAGGCTGGCCAACAAAACCTCCTTTGATCAGTTAAATGCTATGAATCACAGTGAGATGATAACAAAAAGAATAATGTCACTCTACCGGTCCCTATTCCCTCTCCATAGTCCATATATTTCACTTAGCCTCTTTAATTTACATTATATATACCATTTATACATACAGATTCATGCTTCATCCTCATGAATATGTACTGTTCTCTCTGAAAAAAAAATAAAAATAAAAATGGTACAATCCAAGAAGTTCAGGGGTGTTAGGCAGCGCCACTGGGGTTCTTGGGTGTCTGAAATTCGCCACCCTTTACTGTACCCTTCTCAGATTCTTCAATTTAATTTCTTCTTCTGCATGTAAAGTATAATGCCATGTAATTTCTTCTGTGATTAAGCTTGACTAATTTGGTTTGAGTTTTTTCTTGATTTCCAGGAAAAGAAGGGTCTGGCTTGGAACTTTTGAGACGGCGGAGGAGGCGGCGAGGGCATACGACAAGGCTGCGATTTTAATGAGTGGAAGAAATGCTAAAACAAACTTCCCAATTATGGACTGCAACGAAGATATATCATCTCCACCCTCATTATCATCTTCTTCGTCCTCTTCCTCACTTTCGTCTATTCTGAGCGAGAAACTTCGCAAGGGGTGTAAATCGATGTCCTCCTCTCTCACTTGCTTAAGGCTAGACACTGAGAATAGTCATATTGGGGTATGGCAAATGCGGGCCGGACCACGTTCTGATTCGAATTGGGTGATGACTGTTGAGCTTGAGAAGAAGAATGATATTCCTCCGCCGGAGAATGAAACACGGCCGGATCCAGGGATTACGCCAGAGGGTTCAAAGGAGGCAGCATCCAGCGGGGATGGGATGGATGAAGAGGAAAGAATTTCATTGCAAATGATTGAGGAGTTTCTCAATGGGGACTAACCTGGCTTAGAATTTTCATGTGATAATGTATACATTTCGACTATAAATTTTTATGTTGATCGAAAAAATAATTGTCCATGGTCGTAGAGTAAGAGGTTGACACACTACTACTCTATCAATTGGGTATACGATTTGCCTTGATCAAGAGGATCTTGAAAGTAGCGACACTAGTATGCTTGATATATTTGTAAGTGTATTGTGACTTTGAGTTATATCTTAAAATGTTAACCTTATTAAGATGAGTAATTCAAACCCTCATATGTTGGTCTATATTTTCATTTTTATCTGATGTGTGATTTTATCATTTAATATGCCCCCGCAAGATGAAGACTCGTTTGAGCAAATCATTCTTGAAAATCACGTGCTCATTTTTTTGAGTCTTGATTAGATCGAATTGCTTGATGGAATTTAATGGATTTTGATTCCATGTTAAGACTCGTGTTCCATTTGAAAATGTTAACCTCGTTAAGATGAGCAATTCAATTCACTTATATGTTGGTCTATATTTTGATATTTAATCGATATGAGATTTATCCCTTAACATGCCCTTACAAGACGATGGTTCTTTTAAGCAAACTGACCTTGAAATTCGTGTGCTCTTTTGTTTTTTAGTTTTAAGAGGATCGGATTGTTCGATGAAATTTAATAAACTCTGATACAATGTTGAGACTTGTGGATCCATTTTAAAAAATCAACCTTTATAAAAGGAGTAGCGCAAATCCTTAAATATTGATCTATGTTTTCATCTCTTATCTGATTTGGAAATTTATCCCTTAACATTTTGCACTGTGTAAGAATTTAATTCTAATGCACGATATTGCTAAAGACAATTGAACTTCACATTGACTGCTATATCATTTATATTAATCCATTACGAATTATTAAAAGCCGTTATTCGTAAACTCTAGGATCTTTGATGGGCTAATAAGTGAGGTTTAAATATTGGGTCAAATATTTCTGTACGTTGAGAAGAAGAATATTCGCGTTCCGAATTTGTCACCCGGTTTAAAGGGTAAAAGAGTCCATTTAGTATTTCCTTCTTATAAGTTTTAATATGAGCTCTGTATTTGACGAATTTCAAATTATTACTGCAATTTGAATGCAAAGATACGGTTGAAGAAAATGTTAACTTGAGAGAAAAAATAATTAGTAGCGATAAAATTGTCAATTTAGCATAACACTAACTATTTAATATCAGGCATGAGTAATTGTTGATATCAAAAAATGGACATTATTTTTTAAAATCAACAACAAGGTTTCTTATCAGAATTTCGTCCAATTTTTAGGGGTTTTAGAGAAGAAAGGAGTTGATTTTCCTGGCAATATTTTGGTCAGGAAATGCATTTCAATTTAGAGCAATACTACTGGTACATACGCGTGTACATAAGCGTGTACATAATGTGAGTGGAGGTGGGGCATACGCTACAGTGTCGTGGGCTCCACCTTTATGTACACACCTATGTACAAGTAAATTAATCCTTCAATTTAAGAATGCTAAGATTTTTAAGAATGTCGACAACCCCTAATTTTTAAGAATTCTAACAACAAAAAATGAAACCCAAACATAGGCTACATTTAGGTTATAAGTTTAATGTTGACTAGTAAATCGAGACACCTTGTAAGAAAGTTACAAAAAATGAAATCTTAAATTATTTTAGCTAGTTCTTTCTTTAACATGCTTATAATCGATTAAAAATAATCTCTTATGCAGGATTGGTGTTTGGAGCTTTCAAACTTTTGTTACTTGGAGCATAAAATCCCATGTGCTATAGATTCACTAAGCTTTCATTGAATTATCTAACAAAGTTCATAAAGGCTAAAATGACTTGATGTGGGGGCAGCCTTAAATAGTAGGTAAGTGATCAATGCATCATTTTTTAACTTATAATTAATCTTATTGCCTTAAATTTTATGAAGTAGAAACCTCTCTTGGACTTTTAATTTTGTGGTAGTTGGACAAGAGAAATTATGAACTAGCTAGATCATGCACAATTAAATGGAAAGTTGGTCACGAGAGATAGGTTGAACGAGAAAAAAAGTATTTTTGTTAAGACAACTCTTGCCTAACAATGAGGGGTTGAGAAGGATACCACTTAACTCGAATAAGCACTTGTCATGTGCAACGAGAAGGTGTTCTTTTCGTATATTTTAATGTCTTTCATGTTAAATGATCACGTTATCTGCTGAAATTTAATTTATCCATCGATTCTTCTTGTAAATATAATTACTCGTAATCTCTTTCAAATACGGGACAACTGATGTTTAGGTCCAAATATGAAACCAATGATGTATATTATATCGACTATAACATGAAGTTGTAATTTTTTGGGGAAAAAAAAAGTTAGTTTGCATGCTACATTTTCAAAATTTAATCCAATGATGAGATTTCAGTGTCACAATTTTGAGTTATAATTTTTTTTTACAAAAAAATTACACACACAGTGTAAGAAATTACATATATTGTAACACGATTTAAATGTAAATTAACATAGAGATAAGTTACAATGATGTAACTTATTAAATGTAGTAGTCGTTAAAAAAAAATTCATAGTTAAAAATTTAGAGAAAAAAAAGCAAGATATGAAAAATTTACGGACATTGTAACAAAAAATAAAATTTTGAAGCACACTTATTTTGAAAAGGGGAATTATATTCACACAACAATTTTTTATATATGTGCCACATTTTAATTACGAGAAAGGTTTTCAATATTTGATTTCTTTTTTATTTATGTCCTCAACTTTTTCTCGTTGTATTGTCATTCTTAACATTTAATTAAGGGATAATTACATAGAACCAGTTGTTTAGTTCCAGATTTATGAAAATCAGGTTTATACTTTATTTAATCAAAAATTAGGTTTTAATTTCATATTAATAATAATATTATAAAATTAAATTAACCTATATACCCACCCTATTACCTACCCCCACCACATTTCGATCCCAAACCCTAAATTCACTGCCTGTCTCCTCCCAGGCTCCCCTTCATTCCCTTCTCCTTCATTCTCCCTCCCCATCTCTCAGTCGCCCCCTCCTCCCTCTCCCTCTGTTCACAGCAGCGTCGCGACGACGACGCTGCTGTGAATGGCAGCAGCTCGCAGTAGCACCTCATCAATGAATGTGTAGTTATGCCTCATGCTGCTGCTCTTCCTTCGCCGACTTCTGTCCTTGGAATCGGATTTTGAATCCGTGTATGAATCAGAGGACCCAGACGAAGAAATGTACTTCCGGTGCCTCCTCTTCCTTTGCTTCTTATTTCTGTTCTTCCGTTTTCTCTTCCTCAGAATCTGGCAAATGTGTAACGGATGTGCAGGTGGGGGTGGATCTACGACGACGGTGAGTGACATTGGTGTTTTTAGTTGGGGTTTTTTTTGTTGTTGGAGTGGTGGTGATTATTTTTACGTTTTGGTGGTGTTGGAACTGTTGTGGCGATGGTTGTGTTGTTGTGACGGGTCGACGGCGGTGGTGGCGTTTGTCGCGAGTCTCTGTGACCTAGGTAGGTGTCCGTGACCTAGGAATTGTGACTGTGACTCACTGAAACAGAGTTGCGACAAGTAAAAGTCTTGATTTTTTTTTCAATCTGTGACCTGTGCGGGTGTCCGTGACCTGGAAATTGGGACTGTGACTCGCTGAAATAGAGCTGTGACTCGTAAAAGTTTTGAATTTTTTAAATCTGTGACCTATAAAAAATTACTACTTGCGACTTTAAAATTCTTGATTTGTGACCAACGAAGTTAACTGTGACCTATAAATTTTTTCATCTGTGACCTCGAAATAAT